GGAGTTCTCTGTCTGCAGGTCTGGTTCTTTTTATAGGGCCGGTGTGCTGGATAAATCTACAGCTCAGTGGGTAGAGAGACCCATGGGATATCTTTATAAGCACAAAGGGACAACAAACTTATAATGGCTTGACAGATGAATTCAAAGAAAATCTAAGTTCTTTAGCTCACTTATTTGTTGTTAAGAGGCTAATTTTGGGGCTATTTTGCTTCCATAACTAGTGGAAAGAAAACATCCAAATTACACATTCAAGTGATTATTTTATTACACTATATATATTTTGCTTCTCAGCATAACATATTTGGAGAAATTGAGCATTACATCACTTGCTCATCAATGGATCCTCTGCAGTGAATGGGTGCCATCAGAATAAGAGTTCAAACAGCTGATAAAAACATCACAATAATCCACATGGAATCCACATGACTTCAGACCATCAGTTAACGCCTTGTGAAGCGAAAAGCTGCATGTTTGTAATAAATAAATGTATCATTAAGACATTTTCAACTTCAAACCATTGCTTCCAGCTAAAATGGAATATTATGGATTGAGTCCTCTATCCATAATATTGCTTTCTACAGTGTAAAAGTCATCTTGACTGAATCAGGAGAGAAATATGCACTGATCAAACACTGTTTACAAGTGAAAACCGTCTAAAACAGTTCTAAACAAAAATGTTGATGGATTTTGGATTTTGATGTGAGAGGACAACAGGGGATGGACTTTTTCAGTGGAGAAAGAGTTATTATGAATTATGGGCACGTTTTTGTTTTGGCCAGAAGCAAGAGTTTAGGGTTAAAACGCTTTAATGATAGACTTGTTTTTTACAAACACGCAACTTCTCATTTCACAAGACATTAACTGATGGACTGAGTGGTGTGGATTACTTGTGGATTATTGTGATGTTTTTAGCAGCTGTTTGGACTCTCATTCTGATGGCACTCATTCATTTCAGAGGATCCATTGGTGAATAAATGGTTAAATTTTTCCACCATTTCAATTAATTTTCAGCAAATTTTTTTTTTTTGGGTGAACTATTCCTTTAAATTTATTGTTTGCACACTTATAGAAGCATATTCTTCATAACACTAGAGGGCACCCCAGAGACTTAATGTCAAAACGATGAGTGGATCTTAAAGGGGTCATATGATGCGATTTCAAGTTTTCCTTTCTCTTTGGAGTGTTACAAGCTGTTCGTGAATAGATAAGATCCCTGAAGTTGCAAAGACTAAAGTCTCAAAAAACGCAGCCCTGTTTGAATGCACTGTCAGAAGGTCAGAAGTGAGTGAACGCTCTCTGTGATTGATTGGTTCAGATGAGCAGGAAAATACTTCTATCCTACACAGTTAATCGCTAAATTAAGTTATTCGTCCAATTCAATGCATAATGTACGCATTAATTTTTTTGTTAAATAAACAAAATCACTGGTAAATAAATCACCTTAGTATCGATATTTGATCGATTTATTTGAGTATCGATACTTTCGATACTTGCATCAGTATCGATATATCGATACTTCAGGATCGATACGCCCATCCCTAATCTTAATATAGTCAAGAGTCTAATGAGTACAAATGGTGTTCAATAAATAATGATTCTTTGTGCTTCAAAAGTTCAAACATTCAAACCTTCCATCATGAGTCAGACTTTCCAATGGTCGGTCACCACGGCAACAGTTTGATGATCCCAGTAAGCGCTGTGACCTCTGTCTCTCCTTGTGCATTGTGGGAAATGGAATATCAGCAGCTGTTGCACAGTGGGTGACTTCTGCACACCATCCAGCATGGCTGGCCAATGTAACCACAGTGATTAATTATGACACAGAGATCTGGAATGTCTCGAGTGGACGGCACACGGTGCCAATGAAACGGGGCAGATCTCCATCTGGATACAGAAAAAGGTTAATATTTTTAATTGCTGCAATCATGATATGGATATTTATAATTTTTATTGTACATTAAGGTCAGTGTAGTAGTGTAAATTGACTTGACCAGTAAGTTTTCACAGTATCACACTGCATTAAATTTGAGGCATCAGCCCAGAATAAACAGCTCCAAAATAATTTCAAGTTAGTTTTAAAAGGGTTAAAGTTAATGTTGTTAGATGTTCATACCCAATGGGCCATAAAGCAGGTCAGAGTGATAATTGCAACCAAATGTTTGAGGTAGAGTATTTGCAAAGGATAAATTTATCAAACCCACAAGTGAATGTTTAGTTATTTTTACATTCTACTTTTTACTGACTGAATAAATAAGGTTTTCCAGATGGCTAAATCTTTAATATGCTGTTTTTCTGTTAAAGAAGCACACCAATCTATAGTCTTCTGTAAACAACATCCATTCAAAATGGAAATTAATAGGAAGTCTGCATCACTACAGAAAGACTGTACCAGGTTTCATTTATTTTCAAATGCCTGGTATGACTCTGATTTAAAGGGGTCATATGATGCTGCTAAAAAGAACATTATTTTCTGAATCAGATCCCAATTCAAATAAAAATCCACATTCAAATCTAGACCCAGATCCAGACCAAAAACCAGTTCCAAAACTGTGTTCAGATTCAAATCCACATTCAAATTTACACCCAGATCCAGATCCAAAAATCTGATTAAAATCCATATCTAAATCTACACCTTGTTCCAGATCCAAAACTATATTCAAAGCCCTGGCATGAGTCAGATTTCATTCAGATCCAAATTAAAATACTGTACATATCCACATTTAAATCTACACCCAGATCCAGACCCCCAAAAAGATCCAAATCTGTGTTCAGATCCAAATTCAGATTCAAATAAACTTCTAAATCTAACCCAGATCAAGGTCAAAAACCTGATCCAAATCATTAAAATCCACATATAAATCTAGACCCAGATCTGTACCCCAAACTATGATCAGTTTCAAATTCAGATACAGAATCAAACCCCAAATCAGATCCCATTATATCCACATTTAGACCTGGATCATTGACCCATTATGTTCTATAAAAAGAACTGATCATCAATGCTGTACATAAAGACATGTGATATACAAATTAAAGCATATTCAAAGGCCTGCCCTACAACACATGGACATTTTTCAATGCATATTCTTGTTCATGTTACATACAGTATGCAAGTCCTGTGTAAAGACGATGGGCTGAGTGACCGTCTTATACACTTATACAGTGGCAGCCATCAGTCTCAAACCTGTAAAAAACTCAATAATTCATACCAGCAGTAATAAAGTCTACAACAGCCATCAAACCCTCCCTCTCTCTCCTCCTGCCTGACTCTATCAGCTTGAAACTGTACAGCAATCTTGTCGAAAGGAACAAATAGAAAACACTACAGTTTAAACAACCATCTCAAGCAATACAAAAGCATCCTGTCCTGATCAACAGAAGCTTTTTAAGTTTCTACAATCAGAGAATGTTCACTTTTACACACTTTTAATGTACAGAAAATTAATCAAAAGAATCAGACAAGAGCATCACCCAACATTCAATTTCCAGTTGACCACATCATATAATTTCACTCTCATGTTTACTTCAATCTTACAGTACATGCACACTCCCTGTCCACACAAGATTTGGCCTCTGGGTTTAATTTAAAGATAATCATATTTCTTACACAACATTTGCTTTGACATCTTCTCATTTTCAGCACTGACATTGTTTTACTTTGTATTACAGCAGCACTTATTTCTGCATACATTCTGTTATCCCAAAGACATTTTTTAGTTTGAAGCATTGTGGAGCTCCACCCTGTTGCCATGATATGTTTGATGGTTTGATAAGGAAGTCATGAAAAGCGATGCTCAGGAATCCAGTTGGGTGTCTGATGTTAGACATCTGTTTGAAGTGCCACTATGACAAACAGATCAAGCCTCAATTCAGCTGGAATACTAAAGAGTCTCGTTTAGTCATAACACTGTAGGGACTTTTCTGGCAAATTTCTATAGTTTCATTGAACCAAAGCAATTTAGAGTCAGTTTTGATCAGATTCACTCAAAAATAAAAGTCTGATTGAACCAAAAATATTCTTTTTAAATTAATGAACTGCCTGCATCTTAAAGCGTGAACTGTTTGAATGAATGAATAAATACCCTGTTCAAATTTTAACCTCAATGTTTTTCCTGAACTTTGGTATTATTTTCATGATGCCAAAGCACATTTTAGAGGCCAATTTTAGTTAGTTAGTTACTTTTAAATGCCATTTAGACATAATTGACATTACTATAATATAGTAATTATATAGTAAGGTAACACTTTACTTGAAGGGGTGTGCATAAGACTGACATGACACCTTCATAATCATGACATGACACATGTCATGAATATGAAGGAGGTTTTATGCATGTTTATTCTTATGCACACCCCTTCAAGTAAAGTGTAACCTATAGTAATTATAATAATATATAGTAATTATATATTATTATAAAATTATAATATCAATATAAAATTATAATATATATATATATATATATATATGTATATATAATAGAGAAAATTCTGCTTAAGCAATTTTATATCAAACGTCAGGGAAATATCGAGTCGATTTTGAACAGTTCACTCACGGATTTCTCATTTTTGAGAAAAAAGAGAACAAAGAGTTGCCTGGATTAAGTGAATATTTACTTATAATCCATTAAAAAAAAACTGCAAATCCATCCATCATTTGCAAGCGATGGAGAAAGTCTATTAGGCTAAATTTAACACCTGCGTGAGCTGCTTGTGAACGACTCTGTACTGCGGGTGCGGACATTTCTAGACTTAAAGCGTAAGAAAACACTAAAAATACAATAAAGAACTTAAAGTACAAAAAAGACATTACCATTTAGCGTTTGGGTGTCAAACGCGGCAGTGAGGGAGAACTGTCCGTCACTGCGAGTGTGTGTGCAATCTGAACCGATCAGGGAGTTTGTGTGTGAGGTGTTCGGATCTCTCCTCCTCTCACACTTCCTCAAACACACTCTCCCTCCCTCTGAGGTCGCAGTCCTCCTGTCCGTGTGTGTATGAGCAAGACTCATTTAGTGTGTGAGGGCTGTTTTAAAAGTGTGTACGCTGAGGGGCTGAACTCAAAGCCCCCCGTGGCCGTCTTGAGAGCAAACGGAGCCAGTCGATTTCCCCCAGAGACTCCAATGCAGATGGTGTGAGCAGTGAGGGGAAAAGTTTATGACAGCTCTGCTGTTTTCGGTTCACGGCTGCCCCATGGAGCTTTTTGATTTTACGGTTGCAGCTATAGACTTTTGACCGGACTGTTTGACTCAGTAATGCACTTGTATCGGACAGAGTCACGTTTGGGATTGAATCTTGGACCACAGTGAATTCTGTAGCGGTCTGAGTCACGCACTGGATTTGTTTTGGGTTTTATTGACATTTTTTCCCACTGCGTTTTTGTGGACGTTCTTTGGATAGCATTTTTTAAGGTAATAATTGTCTGTTTACAGTCATTTGTATGCTGCTAATGACAAGTTAGCTGTGTGCATGTGGTTATTTTTCAGTTGTGAGAAGCGCGCGTGTGTGTTTTGCTTTGCTGTAATGTAAAGGTCACCCAGCTCCAGAAATGTTGTCTATGTGTGCATGCGTGTGTCATAACCACAGAAACACATAATGAACTATAATCAGTGTGTATGTGTATGATTCTTGCCTTTTTATTTATGTCTATCTATATGGGTTTTTCATCAAATGTCGTGCAGCTGTGTGGCATAGGCTACTGGACTTGTTAATTGTCAATTACCCAAACAAACCTTTTTAATAAGTTCCATAGACCTCACCGTTGGACAAAGCTAGTTTCATATTTCTACAGCTGTTGTCTACTAGATTTGACAATTTGAAGGAGAAGTGTTAAAATAGCTCAGATATTCTCCTTTTCCATTCAAAAGTACAGCGTTTTCAATTTTTGGCTTTGTTTGAAACACTTGTGATGGACATCCAGAGGTCGGAGTTCTCAGTTTGAAGTACTTTGTCTCAGATATTTATTCTCATACATAAAAATAGACTCAAATGGCAGTAAGAGCATAGTGTAATAAATGTGGATAGCAGAGCGTGGACTATTTCAGCTTGGGAGATTTTGATTTAAAAATTGAGTTTATATTGAAATCTCTTCTTTTGTTTGCAGAATTGGGATCTCCTATGAAACTCTAAAGGAGACACAACTTAGATTACCTGGGTCTTTTCCCTCAGGAGATAAACCAGGGCATTTAAGCCATTTGCTCTTCTTTTATTCCCATATCTACAACAATTGAGATATTAAAGAGCTCTTATTCTATGGGCAGAGAAGCATTTTGTGTACTAATAAACTCACAGTGAATTAACTCAGCAGTTTAGAAGTTTATGTTGAGTTAGAGGAGGTGTGGAGGAGAGCGGCAGAGGGGGAGAGGTAGATGGAGATGCAGAAACTAATGAAAGGAATGAACAACAATCTGTCAGCTCACTGACACTGAAGGAAATGATATCTGGAAGAGAAGAGAACGTACTGTTCGGTGATAATTCACAAACAGAATGGGTTATGCTGTATTTCTCTGTGTTTTTAAATATTTAATTTTGTTATATAGGAGAAACAGTTAAGATTCTAAAGATGGCTCACTTGTGATTTGTCTTTTTAAAGGATAGCATCACATTCAACACATTCTAGAGGTCCTAACCCTCTTCCAATATCCTAAACTTATTACCACACGTTATGGTGCTTTAACGTTGATGAAGGAACGTTATTTGCCAGTACGGAGAGAGCGACATCACTGTGGCTATTTAGAGGACTGATCTCCTTTCATTTTTCCCCATCAAACCCTCTGTGACCCAACGCTGTGATTGTGTTTGTGATGAGGGCATGTCTGTCTCTGTCTCATCCAAGCATTGTGCAGACTGCAAACCTTCTCATCTGGTGTTTGGGAGCAGCCAAAGTCAGAGCAAAACAGTTGCATCACTTTTGCAGCTACACTCTTTAAAAAAGGACATTTATTGGCATAAATTGTTGCATTAGGAACCTTTAACATGCATGGAACTTTTCCATCAGACAAAAGGTTCTTTACAGTGGATAAAATTTATTTTGATTATTCAAATGTTTTTCACACTTAGAAAAAAATTGTTCTTTTAAGAACTGTTCACTGAAAGGTTCCTTGGAGAACCCAAAATGGTTCTTCTATGGAATCACTGTGAAAAAAAAGTTTTTTTTGGAACCTTTTATCCTTTAGTATTCACTAAAAATAGATGTTTCTGTAGATCTGCAGCAATCATGGCAGCAGTAATTCATCAATTGATAAAGATGTGATGGAGAAGAGTGTTCGCGCATTCACCATTTTTAAGAGCCAAGGCTAGTTTAAAATGTCTATTTCAAATGACAATTTGAAGAAGGAAAAGTGTTAAAATAGCTCAGACGTTCTCCTTTTCCATGCAAGGGTGTTTTAGGGTTTTTTCGAAACACTTGTGATGGGCAGAGTTTGAAGTTCTCAGTTTTAAGTACTTTGTCTCAGATGGTTTTCCTAACATTCTTAAGGAGAAATACATAATAGACTTAGATGATTGTTGACATACAATAATAGTATAGAGTAATAAATAAATGTGAGCATGGCATGGACCATTTCAGCTTGGGAGAAATTTATACTGAAATTTTCTTTTGGTTGCCCATTCTTATTCATTTATAAAATTCATTTATAAAAATAGATGTTTGTGTAATTCATCAATTGATTATGCAATGATGAGGAACAGCGCTGTTGTCAAGCACATATTCAGCACTTTTGGGAACCAATGCTGTGCCATAATTTCTTCAAGAAGGCACTACAGAAGGCAACTGTCTTGAATTATGGTCTGCAAAGTTCTAGGTTTGGCAAAAGTTTCTCACCTAGTTGTGAAGGTCTGGAGACTAAGAATATGGTCTAACTTGTCTAAACAGTCCAAACCTCAAACAAAGAGGTAGTCGGGCAGTCCATTGAACTGGAGTCAGTCATTCTGCCGAATTAGAGAAAGGACACAGCCAAAGCCATCCCAATCTGAAGGTGGCTGCAGTATCATCATCATCATCATGATCCTTAAATGTGTCTGTTTTTAGCAACTCTGTTTCCCTTATTCATACAAAAAAAGCCAGCGAGGTGCCTCAAGGCCAACGCCCGTTGACTTACCAACCACTTCTGCTAAAATTTCCCCAAATGAGTCAGACAGTCATATGCCTAAATGCATGGTTTTGCACAGATGTAAGAAGGATTCCTCAAGAGGAGTATTTTAATAAATCGAGAACCTCACATGTGGCATTACATTAGTTAGAACCTGACTTGTGGCAATGAGACAGATATACAGTGTGGCCTCCAAAACAGACAAAAAGTTCCTCAAAGGGACTATAAAATCTTGTATATCAATACTTAGTGAATGAAAAACATAGTCCATTCAACTTTTCGCCAAATTACTCATATTGACTACATTTATTGTATGTTTTGGAGCTTGATGGTTGTTGTCCCCATCTATTTTCATTGTATATGAAACAGTATCCTGGACACGGTTTTAAATCATAAGGGGAAAATAAGTAAATGATGCCAAAATATTTATTTCAGGCTGAAATATTCCTTTACCATTGATATATATTTCCATACAAAAATTCTGTACGATTTTTTATCTTTTTTGAAAGTCTCTTATGCTCACTGAGAGTATGTTTAAACAACAATGATGCACTAAAAATGTAAAAGTTTTTCCTTTGCATTTTTTAAAAAGTTTTGACAAAGTTGCTAAAACGATCCATTCATACGGATCCGTGAAAATGGCTAAAAATACAGCGCTGAATTTTGCCTGCCAGGCCAGTAGATGGCGATGCCACTTTGTAAACACTGCGCACATAACTATAGACTAACTGTGTAATATATATGCGCGTGACCGTTTTCACAAATTCACGTTTTTGTAGTTTACACAAAGACAATAAGGGTATTGTTTTCAAAACCATGCACTTTGAAACCTGTTTTTGAATGTTTGCAATTCCAGGCTCTCAAAAAATTAGTTATGTAAATGAATGTATGCATTTATTATTTGAAAAATGGTAATATCGTAAATGTAGCCATTTCGCCAGTCTTCAGTGTCACATGATCCTTCAGAAATCATAATATGCTGATTTGCTGATCAAGAAACAGCATTTCTTTTTGTTATTTTTTCCCCAACTTTTGTAACATTAAAATGTCTTTACTGTTACTTTTGATCAATTTAATGCATCCTTGCTGAAGAAAAACAAAAAAAAACAACCAAAACTTACTGACCTCAAACATTTGAACTGCTGACACATTCAAGTTGAAAAGTTGAGAATAAAACTAGGAAGTGGAACCATTTCTACTTTTGCTAATTCTTCTGAAACATCTAAAGTTGAAAGGAAACAGAAAGCCCTTATGACATTTCCATATGAATTAAGTGAGTATGATGTCATAAGAGATTTGTGTTGCCTTTCACCTTTTGATCTTTGAAATTACTGTAATGAAACAGTGTAGACGGCCGAGTTGAGAACAGAAATAGGAATTGGAACCATTTCTAAGTTTGCTAATTCTTCTAAATCATCTAAAGATGAAAGGAAACACAAAGCCCTTATGACATCATACTCACATAATTCATATGCCACATGTGTCAATCAAACAGCAGTGACAGTCGAACCCTGACCTTTACCTGACTGTGTACATGCACTCTGCCAGAAAGACGTCTCTCACACCCTACTGTGATTTTGGCAGGTTTTGTCCAGAACAACACAGTGATATGTGCCTCAATTCTCGTTTTTAGAAGTTTTGCGTTACTGATAGATATTTTTATATTCTAAACATTTAGGCCTGGTTTCATAGACAGGGCTTAGCCTAAGCCAGGATTAGGCCATAGTTCAATTAGGACATTTAAGTAATTTTTATAAACGTGCGTTAGAAAAAAACATTACTGGTGTGCTTTTTGAGACAAAACAAAGGCATTGATATATTTTAAGATCAGTCAGTGCAAGTTTCTTTCATTTGAAACAGCTCAGACTTGCATTTTAGTCTAGGACTAGGCTTAAGCCTTGTCTGTGAAACCGGGGGTTAAAGTTTTTATTCTTTATATACACTAGCATCGTATTGAATTGAATAGCATTTGTCTTCCATTTTAGAAGTTTTGCGGTACTGATAGATATTTTTATATTGTGAACATTGAAAGGTTTTATTTTTTATGTACACTAAAATATATAGCATCGTGTTGAATTAAATAACATTTGTCTTCCATTTTAGAAGAATGTTTTTTTTTTTTTCCAATAAGCTCATTTGCAATGCATTCTGGAATTGCTTAATCCATAAAGGATATGAATTTCATTCCTTTCATTTTCTGTGCTAAATTCTTGGTACGCAACCTGACACGCAAGGTCATAACGTGGCTAAAATACATAATTCCGTCTGTATGTCTTTTCAAGCATCGATATCTCTAACGGTCTCTGGTCTGGTACAGGGGC